GTCCGGTCTCAAACCCTCCTCGGCAGCCGGCAGGGCCGTTGGCCAGGGTCACTCTTAGGGGTTTCGAAAGCGCCGTTTGCCAGGGTCTAAACCCTTCTATTTCGTCCTGTCGCGCTTGCTCTCTGGAACTCGCCAGCTGTTTGTCGGGCATTGTTTATCTGACGGTGTTGTGTGTGTGTGGCCTGAACGCGCCCAAAGAGCAGCGACGACCACACCACACTGTGGCATGCGGGGCACCTGTCCGGATGCTGGCGTGTCTCTGCGCTCACAGAGCCTTCTTTGACCCAAAACTGGTTGCCGCAAACGTGTCGGCGATCTATTCGCCCTGTTTTCACTTTGCTCGCGACGTGCCCTTCGCAAAACGGACACACATAGACGCATTTCCTGGCGACAACGCCTCCGTCTTTGACACGAAAACGGTGCCCGCACGCACGGCGGTGATGTACTTGGCCTGTGCGCACGCTACTGCTCACAGACGCCTCACAAAACGGACACACATATTGGAACATTTCCTCGGCGGCCTTCCGTCCAGGCAACTCTGCCGGCGCTGCGTTTGTCATGCGCCCTTTGCGCGACGGCGTGACGTCTGTTGTCGGACGTCCTGCCTCAGGTTCCGTCTTGCATTGGGCCATCTGGCTTTCTGTCCGCTGTGGCTCCTGCGCCCAGGGAGCGGGCACCTCCACCTCGTCTTGCTTCTGTGCCACGCGGGCCGCGATCTCTTCCCGGACGCAAGCTATGACCTGCAGTCTCCTTTCCTCGGCCACTGTCCTTGTGGCACTTGGTCGATGCGGGGCTGGACACGGTACACGCCGCTCAACGACATCCGTGTCCATGCCATGCCGGGGCTCCAACAAACGTCGCAACTGCTCTTGTCCTGCGCGGGCACGAAGACGGGCCAATCTCTGATTGGTTCGGGCGGCGAAGCGGCACACAAATTGTAGCGCCGTGCACCCATTACACATCTGCGCCCTATTATCTTTCCAGCGGTGGTGTTGGCGCCGCGCACTAAACTCTCCGCGTGCCTTTCGCACACCACAGGTGCCACATTGCCACCAACCACGCTCCTTTTGCGCACATTGGCGACAAATGCGTCGATCCGTGTGGCGCGTTTTCCAGGCGGCTGCGCCAAAGTCCGCTTCGGGTTTGCGCTCAGCGCACCGAACACATGGCTTCCGCTCTTCGCACGTCAGGCAGACGCGATAAAAGGTGCGCTGCGGTCGGTGATACTTCTGCGGAAAATTGACTTCGGCGTGCCAGACTTTGCAGATATGGCACTGCCATGGCGTGCCGGCTTCCGCATAGTGTCGGCCGCACTCACGACAAACTCGGTCCGCCTCATCGCGTTTCCATTGCCCTACCGTAAAGGCCCCTTTTTGTTTGCGTTGCTGGCAAACGCAGCACTGCCGCTCTTCGCAGTATTTGTTCAACAGCGCGGTCCAATCTATCCTTTCGCCGCGCAGATGTCGCAGCAAGAGCGCCCGACCAACGCCGATTCCGCGCTGGAAGGGTTTCGCGTCGAATGGACGAAACGGGTCGGCGGCAGGGGGCGGAGCCCTTTATATACAGTAACTGGTGACGACATGCAACACCATTCAACACCAAACAACTGAACAAAACAATGTGTAAAGCGCTTACATAGTTTTTGATTGACTGATCGATGCTTGGCAAGTGTCATAGGGTCATCCTCTTCCCGGTCCTCCCCTGATCAGGACTTGCGACTCAGGAAAAAGAATACACTGTATATATAACGTATATATATATATATATTGTAATAAGTACATATACAGTAACCACAAACAAATCTGGAAAAATACGTGGGCATCCAAAGAGGTCTTGGCTTACAGGGAACAAAACATAACAAAACATATTTCTCCTGCGGGGCAGTTCGGAGTCTGCGAAGATTGCCAAGCGTGCCTTGCCCACGCAACAACAAATTTCAACACTGTGGCTTTCACACGTGTGGCGGGGCACACTTTGCTGGTTGTCAAAAGGCTTTACTATCGCAAGATTACGTGCACGTAAGGCACATGAATCATGTGACCTACAATTACACTTTTGTTCAATGACGACAACGGCAACTCGACGAGACAATGAAATGAGTGTAAGTTATTTGGTGTGATACCCACTTTTCATCAATACTTTGAGCGATATCTTTGGTAGCCCGATGAAAGCGGATGTTGATAAATGTTGATGCTGTGGAACATCGCGTTTTTTCGGCCATGCGTCGCCTGGATGGTAGAGATTCCAGGGATGTGAAAAGCTCACCAAGGCCCTCCATGGAAGTGAACAGCAATGAAGGCATCCGGACCTTCACAGGCACCTGCATGCCAGCCTGACAGATATAATGCCAACACATGACTAATCTGCCGACCCCGGCTTAGCCAAATCTGACGGGGGCGGCGCCTGGAACACTGCAGGGTGGAACCTTACCTTGGGCGCGCACTTGCTTGGCGATGGACCCTATTCAGGCCTCTGGCCGTGGCCCTGCCAAACCTGGGTTTACAGGGCTTCGAAGCTGCTGTCTCGGGCCCTCCCCGTGTGCAGAAATAGATGGGGGAAGGTCGTGGGCCTGCCATGCCTCTGGTCGTGAACTTGCAAGCCGCCAAACTGGTGTGTGGCACGGCCGTCTTGTCCCTGCAAACCCTCCGTCCCAGCTGCATCTGCGCACAAAACGACATGGGCTAAAGGCTTCGAGGGGCGCCTTCCACGCCTCTGGTCGCGCCATTTGCCCACCTATATAGTCTTACTGGGCTTCGAAGCTGCCAACAAAAGAATTAGACTTTAAGGTGATTCTAGCAGATCCGGCGGCATCAGGGAGGTAGCGCATTCTGTCCGGCGACGCCGTCCCGGTGACCATATCAAACATAGCTTGCTATGGGGATACATCAAAAACACAGGGAAAGTGATCAAAAATGGCAACTTATTTCCAAACTTCTTAGAAATTAAAGCATTGAACATGGATACAAGATGATACAAGCTTTGAGGAGAAATTTGGGCCGAGCATCATTAGCATCAGCAGAGTCTCAGCAGGAAAGATGCAAATTGGTGCACGGCTAGGCAGAAAACATTGTAAATTACAGTGTTTTTGCAACATGTAAGTAGTTTATGAGCAACGCTGCTCGTATTCTGGTGATGCCACACAACTGCTACCTCAAAACTTCCTCTCCTCTTAGCATACTTTCTTCTCTAGAGATAAAGCTTTACAGTAACCATTTGTTTATCACTTTCCCTGTGTTCTTGACGTTTATTGAAGAACATGCATACGTCCCGGTGATGTTCAAAGACATTTCTAGCACCACCTCAGCTTATATGGCTTCTTCCAATATCAGGACTTTGTAGTGGAAAATGCTGAAGAAAGGTGCTCAATAAGGCAGAAGGTGCTCAATAATAATTATTCAAAAATACAACTTGTTCAGCGCTTTCCACTACAAAGCACTGATATTTGAAGAAGCCGTGCAAGCGTGTGCGCGAGTGCATGTGCGCGAGTGCGTGTGCGTTCGTGTGCGTGTGCGTGTGTGCACGAGTACGTGTTTGTTCGTGTGCGTGTGGGTGCATGTGCATACGTGTGTCTGAAGCTGAGGTTGCCTGTCTTTCCCTGTGTGGGAGTGTGCAGGCGTAAGAAGCTGTGCTAACCGTCGCATTTTGCTGTGCAAGGGGCCTCCGGATACGCGCAGTCCCCCCAAGGGCGTCGCCGGTGGGCGAAGCCTGTCAGTAAACACAAGGTGTGGGGACCAAGAGGTGTGGAACCCCGCAACCCAAATATTTGAAGCATCATTTTGGAAACCTTGTTTCCTGGGCGTACGGTGGTCGTGGAGCTGCACATGTCCACACTCTTGGGATGCCTCGGGAAGCTTCGTTGCATCGTTCGAGCCACATAGATTTTTTTTTACAGCAGCTTGCCTAGCTTGTTCTCTTGTTTCTCCAGTTCTTCTCAAAATTTGATGCAAACTTCAAGCAAGTATATACTGGGCATTGCTGTCCCATCCAAGCAGAAAGAAGTGTAATTAGGTTGTTTACATATTTTTGCATCTTCATCATGATCTTGCCCTTCTGAAGTGGCCATGGCATGCCATCACCCCGATTTTCAATCGAGAGTAACCCCATTTCTGGTGAGTGCCTGCTTTGGAACTTCCACAGTGAGATCGTGCAAGCGGATTCGGCACCAAGAACATGCAAAGGGTGGAGGCTCGATGAGTTCCGTAAAGGGCATTACAATCTTCTTCACCTGTCCGTAAGGAGCTTGGCAGCTTGGCTAGACCGCTGATGTATTTGTTATATAACTTGTACAACAAGATTGAGAATTTGGAGCCAGGCCGTCTCCACCAAGCTCTGAAATGCTGACACGTCCACGAGGACCTTCACTGAATGTAGGCAGCCTGCAAGATCTCCAGTGAAACTTGTCTACTTACAGGAAAGCTCTGGGACATGGTCAGTGGCCACAAAACGAAGGGTTCCTGACAAAGCGTATACAATTTGTGGAAACAAACAGACTGCCCCTTGCAGGACTTTGTAGATGTCAGGCCTTCGATTGGCTGGAAGCTCTCCCAAGTGCTGTGGACCGCAGGAACGTCCTCGTGCAAACCACTGCATTCCATGTGGATTGGTCATGGGCCCGCCAATGAGCCAGTTTCCAAAGTACCCGAAATCAGGGTCTTGCTTCCAAGGTGTCAGCATCGAAGAGACAGGAAGCAAAAAAGGAAGAGAAAGGTGCAACATGGCACAAAGGTCTACAAAAGAAGAAAAGGGAAGAATACAGAAAAGGAATTCCTCTCCTTCCAGCGAACGGACACGCTGGGCCTATGTGAAAGGCCCAAGGAGAGCAACGTCTTTGGAACTTCTTCTGAACCTCAGGTTGGCGTTGGCTCTTGGAGGAGGACAGGGGATTAATGATTAATCGAGTGCAGCAACTCATGATTACACTGAACCAATAGGGAACCGTATGTAAGGACTTAGGTCAATCGTCTATCAAACACACTTCCAAGCCATGGTAGCATGTCTACTCAAATCAACTCTGCTGGTTGTGGGCGTCCATTTTTGGGGTCCGGACCTAAGGTGCTCCACATCAACCTTGCCAAGCCCAAGTAGATTCCAAAGATCCGCTGTAAACATTGCATCTTCACTCCTGGACAGCATGGGCTTTCTATAGCGTTCCCTTGCCTGTTCAATTCCGATGGCATTTGGTGCGTTAGTTGGCTATAGCTGCAGGGTTCTCTGGTTCCCTCCAACTTCCCTGCGGTGTTCAAATGATCTTGTAGATTCTTGTACTTAAACCAGAGCACCCTACTCTAAGTCCTTCGGTGCTTTTCTCGCAAAGGCCAAGCTCATAGAGACATCGCCACCTCGCGGCTGGGAAATTGTGGGGCACTCTTCAAATCTTGAATCCATTGTATCACATGGTGTAGCTAGAACCGCTACGAACTACTGACAGCTCTCACCACGAACACAAAACATGATGAAACGCCAAAGGCCTTTGAATTTACCAGCACGTAAGTGAATGAGGAGCAGCACGCAAACCCCCTCATCCGAGTCTCCAACCTGGATGTGTCCAGTGAGGAGATGAGGTCCAGGGTGAACATGAAGTCATGTGCCTTCCACGAAGCAATACCCATTGCATGAGCTTGCACAGTCCCCTTCAATCCCCTTCATGTCTTGTATAGTCGTAATTAGGGTAAATCATAATGACAAGTATTCTCTCGTTGCTTGTTTATGGCCTCCAGCTGTGCTGCTTTTGTGTCCATGCAAATAGTGGCCTGAGTGGGGCAGCTTGACCTCCCCTGCAACAAGCATCCTCAAATCCAAACCCGTGCTGCATCCATGCTACGTCCTTGCTCCTAGTAGTAAGGCCAGGAGCCCCTAGTAGCGTCCTTCTCTGTCTGAGGTGAAGGCCCCACACTGTTCCAGAGTCAGGGACAAGGTCAGCAAGGTGACATTCTTTCGATTTAGCAGCTGCTCGCGCCAGTGTAGACCTCTTCAGCTTCAGGGTGCCAATCACCACCAACCAGTGTAGTATACTTGGGGGCTTTAAGGATTGTAAGGTTCAATCATCGATCTGGTCAAACAAATGTGCAACAACTTGCTTCAAAGTCACCTCCAACCTAATAGCGATGGCCTCAAACCACTCCTCCAACCTAATAGCAATGGCTTCCAAGCTTGCTCCAAAGTCACCTCTTGATCAGATCTTTTCCATTTCGCCCTGTTTCGCGATGGCTGCCCACCTGTAGCCCCAGCGCGCCCTGGCCGTAGCTCCGACCAGCTGACAGCTCCAGCGGCCTATAGGGAATGAGGTCTTTCCTTGATAACACGATCATGAAACTATGGGTTGTCCCTTCAAACCGAAATTTCCCCGTAACACCGCACCTGTACTCTTCATTAATATTCATTATTCTTATTCTTCAGGCTGTTGACAGTTGGAAGTTGGAACTACGTAGTGGGGCATCATGATGCTACTTTTGCAGCTTACGCAACCGCCACGGAACTCCAGTGTTGGTGATCTTGTCTACATCAGGGAACCACTGATTGAGGCTGATGCCCATCCTCTGTTGTGGGCGATACATGGCTCCAACAAGTGTTACTCCCGCAGGCCTGGTCAGAGTCTGGAGGTAGCTCAGACTGTGAGAATGGCAATCCACCCTTGATCAAGTCCAACAGAACCTGGCTGAATTTGACAAAGGCATGTCTAGCGAGTCTACCTCCATCAACAGCCCCAAATCTCAGTGGCACCTCACAAACAGCCATCACTGGTGCTACAGGAAGTTGAAGTGCCACTGAGGCCAAACGGATGGTGATGGCAGTTTCACCTCGAATTTTTGCAAACGTGAAAGAGAGGGTGAATCTACCACAATCTGCCCACCTTGTTTCTTTCTTGGCTTCTTTCCCACTCCCACAAACCATGAATCAATGCTCCACATTCACACGCTCTCAGGCCGGGGACCCCCAAAAGGGTATCACCACATATAACAACCATCAACTGTGCCAAAGAGACAGACCGTCTCTGTCTTTGACCAAGCTGCTACTAAAGGGACAAACCCGGCGGGATCGATGTTGCGGAATAAAGCCACACCAGCGCCTGTGTCAAACCTAGAAGCGATGACCTCCAACCTAATAGCGATGACCTCCAACTTAGAAGCGATGGCGTCCAACCTAATAGCGCCTGTGTCAAAGTAGCTTCAACATCCACAGAAAAGGTATTCGAAGCCAGCCTCTGTTCGATTTGTACGCTCACTGGTCCTATCACCTCCACCATGGCACCTCGGGCAAAAGCACATACAAGCATGACATCGGCTTTTTGTTCATGTTCTTTGACTTCAAACAAAAATGAAGGAGGAAGGCGTACAGTAGCAGCCCAGCACAGAACAGTCAAAACAGGTGCGCTCGACTTCTCACATGTGGCCTGGTTTCTGGTTTGTCGCAAGCCGCAGTCCATCAATCTGGACCTGAAGACTATCCACGGCAAAGAAAGCTGCAAGCTCAATTCATGCAGAAAAAAAACAAAGGCTTTCCCAGCATAGCAATGTATTAATTGCTACGTAATGTATGGGGAGGTTGGAGTAGAAACTCGCCAATTACAAGCAACCCCGTATATATATATATACTATATATACTGTATATATAATGTCGAATTAATCAATTAAGGATCTGACTGATCGGACATAATCTTGGAACGCTAGGCTGAGAGCGTTGCCAAGCGGAAAAGCCGTGCACATGGGTCACAGAATTCATAGACATCCTTGAGACCAAGACTATGTAACAAACGCAACAGCATGCAAGCAATGTGCAAACAGCCCCAAACAGCAAAAATATATATATATATATGTATGTTGATTTGGTGTTTCGCTCCATTTCCGTAAGCTGAACCGCGCCTGAGGCTTGCTAATCTTCTCGCCTCTGACACTACATGGGAATGATTCAAGTGCCTGAGCAAACAGCACAACGGCAGGGAACTTCCCAGAATGAACATTGAACATCGCAGCTTTCATAGACACATACAAAGGTGCTGCTGCCGCTACAAATTGTTAGACCTTGTCCAATCGCACATCAGTGTGACCAGCCTCAACCCTGAGCTCGAGTGGAGATACCTTGGCAAGAATCGGGCGCCCCGATCTTCAAGCCATACATCAGGATTGCCAGCGATCGGTAATCTAATCAGCCATTGTGAATCGAATATGAATCATACGGAATTATGGTCTGTCATGAGTCATACGAAAAACACCAACTGCTGAATCAATCACTTTGCCCTTGGTGTTCTGGACGACATCCTTTCAAGCTCTCAAAAGAAGTCAAACAAGCGTTGAAGATTCAATCCTCCAAATGGACACCCTCCTGTGCCGCTGAAACTCGCTATCAAAACATTCATTTTTGCGCGAAAGCCTGTCACTTGAAGCAGTGCCATGCTTCAAGCAAGGGCGGAGGACCTTGTGGAGCCAAGCTGCTTGTCGGGATGACCACAAATCCACTTGCAAACTCTTCAGCACTACTTGCAGCCCATCCGTGATCACCTGGTCCCGCTTTTTCATGCTTTTTCAGACTCCGAAGCGATGAGTGTGTTGCCCGCATTAGGGCAGGGGAGGTGGTCCACGGGAAGCCTTCCTCGCTCGGGCAAGTGAGGCCACTCGCGCCTCTTTGAGTCCCACCTTTAGGAGTGAGGCATCTTCCTTCTCTTCCTTCTCTTCCTTCCGATCATCAGAATCTGCAGCCTGCAAGTATCTGAAAGATTCTGAAAGTACAGCACCAGCACCGTAGCACCTAAAACCATGCAAATCCTTATCCAACTCAACAAAGATCCCTGCACCAAGATCACTAGTGTGTGTCTTCAGCGGTTCAGCGTACCTCGTCAATGCTCAGGTCTTCTCCCTTGGATGTCTTCTCTGGGTGCAACTTTTCCTCGGCATAGCTCGATGCCCATGAATTGGTCGGGGCTAGTCCCATACAAACAAGGATGGCATGCTGTTGTTGCAATGGCTCACAACAATCATTTCGTTTGACCAACCTTCATGAAAACATCTGAAGATCCCTCCTGCGCAGCCAGCCAATCGCTGTCCTCAGAATGAACCTTCAATTTCACCTCGAGACCAGACAGCTCCTTGCAGGGTGGTCGTGGAAACAAACATGTCTGCCTCATCATTTGTGGTGAGCTGCTACTCAGCTACTCTATGGTCTGTTCTTGCAAGCTTCTCTGAAGCCAACGGTACCAAAACAACATTGAAAGAACCATTAAACAGTGGGGTGTATTACTTTCCTGATTTGGTTCCAAGTCACAACTTACAGCCCTTGAAAAAAGGGGTGTGTGTTGCTCCAAACTCTGTGCTGGTCGTGGTGTGCAGCATTGTCAACACTTAATGGATCTTGATGGTGCACGAAGCAATTATGCTTGCTGCATATGTCTTTTGCACACAAAAAGTTCAAATTGAATGTGTTCTTGAAAAGCTTTGGCAATGGCTCCAGAAGCACCGGCTGACGTCGCAGTCGTTTCCACGGCACTTTCAAAGAAATGAAGCTGCACCTGCGGAGAAGGCCATGCACTGGCCAAAACAGATCTGACATGGCATGACCTAGCTGCCTAGCTGTCAACAAACGAGTATTCAATGGATTTGGAGCACATTGATCACTTACTACTGCGCCTCACTTTTTGCAGTTCCAGTGCGCAAGGCAAGACATCCACCAGCAGTTCATGCACCGCAATAAGGTCCAGTTCCACCTCCTGTGGCAGGACTCATCTATAGAGGTCTGCAAAGTCTCACAAAGACTCTGAAGGATCTCTATATACATTTTCAACAGATTCACTAGACATTCAATCTTGCAGCTTAAGTCTGGTTTTGCCCCCCGACCATTGTAACAAATCTCACGGTCTAAGATTTCTACTTTGTCTCGCGAAGCAGAGGAAACCTCTAATTTCAGATCGTTTGATGCCAATGTGAGATTGGTCCACAAGACCGGGAACAAGATCGTTCTCTTAACTGCTCCAGGTTCCCTCCCCCTCTGTTTTCTTTTTTCTTTTCTCTCCCTCTCTCTCTCTGTCTCTCAGGGCTGGAACCAAGTAGGGAGGCATTGTCTTTCTGTTTCCCTTGTTCTGTTACAATCAAGAGCCATTTGCAATGTGTTTCTGTTTGGCAGAGCGGCAGAACCCTTCTGGGCTCATGCGCTCCTTGAGCTTCACGGAGCCCTTCAAAAGGTGAGCTGAAATGTGCTCCGGAGTGAAGCCCTGGCGAGGCGATGTTGAAGTGCACGCTTCAAATATAATTTGGATTCGGTTGATATAGAGATCAACAAGCTCACGTCGTAAGGTGGCTTTTTGAGTGTCACTGTCTCTAACTCGTAGCGCCGGAGTGGAGGTAAGCGAGTAAGACTGGAAAAAGGTACTACGCGCCAGGATGCAAACAAACTCAAAGGACCCATCGCATGATTGATTTGGTTCCCACATGTTTAGGTTTAGGGGAACCTTAAGTTTTGGACCATGTGGTTTGGTTCCTTCCTTTTGCTTGGTTGGGAGCTGTTTATATATTTGGTAACTGGTGACCACATCCCAACATTGCTTCGAGAGCTTCAACAATAGAATACACATCCTGACGCAATTCATGCGCAGCATGCGTGTTTGGGGAGCGATTGATTCAAATTGTTTTCTCTTGGCCCGTTGGCCTTCAAGAACTTTTGCAAGTATCTCGCCAAGAGCGTCTCCAGCATTGAGCCATGAAAGTCCGTACCAGCTGACGGATATCGGACTGCTTACTTTTGACCTTTTAATCAATCCTGTGGAGAACTCTGAGAAGTACAGTTCCTCTTTACAAATTTCGCACTGCAGCCCCACGATGCTTTACCCATTGGTGCCTCAATGCACTCTTGAGTAAGAAGCAAGCCTAGTCACATGGAGTGCCAATAACTGATCTTCCCCAGAAATGACTTGATTTAGCTTTTGTTCGTGAACACTTTGCTGGCTAAACCTCTCACTCTGCCCGCAGCTAAAAGGCCGCGGCTTGAGCATAACACAGCCGCAAGTGCTGCAATTGATACTTATATAGTTGCATGCAACCCGTTAATCTTCTTTACAATATGTGTATATAATATATTGTTTATAGACAGTATATATATATATACAAGTTTTCAAGATCCAAGCAAAAAGGCGCCCTTGGGCGTTGAAACCTGAAAAATTGAGCCCCAGCGCTGTTAGCTCTCTGCTGACTTGTTCCAAATCGAGGAAATGCGTCTCCTGGACCTTGAGAGCACCAAGGTCCAAGGAGACATCCGCAAAGTGCAAGGTGTTCACAGCGGCCTGAGAGTCGTGTGCTCATGTGCTATGTCAAAAACGCTAAAAAAACAAACAAACGGCACACACACAAACGACATAAAACAAACTCTAGAGCTTCCTTGAGAGGTGCCCAGCCGCTGGCGTCCAAGGCGCCAAAAGTGGCCTTCAACGTCTTCAGGCGTCAAAAGTGGCTTGGCTCAGTGCACAGTGACGTGAGAAATTTGTGCAAACACACTGTATGCCACCTACAAGTGTTCATGCGGTTCACGATTCTGAGGCATGCACGCAGGGTTGCATTATGTTAAATTATGTTGCATTCGATAGCTATGTTACAGTACATCATGTTACACTGTTACACCGGCATTCCGCACCCATGAGGCCCGGAACCTGTGACACCAGCCCTCATGAGGCCTCCCTACTGCCTTGTTTTGGACTCCGCTTGACTGTCATTCACTGCTTGAACATGTTGCTTGACTAGCGGCCTCTAGCTTTTCCAGGTCATCATTGGGAGTGTGCTTTTGCACCTTACAATTTGACAAAGTTCGTCCAAACCCGCAGCCATCACAGCAACTTAGTTTGGCTTAGACCAGACTCTACATAGTGCAAGCAAATAATCTACCAATTGAATCGACGTGAGTCGAAAGACCTTCATTGGAACAAAAGCTTCAGTTCGTTGCCTGCAGCAAAGCTCCCGAAGGACCACTGCAGCAAGCTTCTTCTCCATCCGTCTGCAAATACCAACGCTTTGAGATACATGACATATCATGACATCTTTGGAGAATCACTCCATCTATGTCCAACTGGTACCCGTAGTATCCTGATTCTAACGATTGTAGAGCGGGGCAGCTCTATCATCTGTCGTTCAAAAACCATTCCCATCACTGACAGCGAGACGTTGCTCGAACTTAGGAACCGCTATAGGTTTAGGCCTTCTTCGGCTATCAGCCTACCAGCTCTTTCTGCCTGCCTCCAAATAGTGTGCTCGCAGAATTTGCCTCACTTCGCAGGCCAGCTTAAATTTGCAGGGAAACTGCAACAGTAGTCATGTCGCAAAAACGTATGTACACCCCTTTTCCACCGAAGAAAGGGATGCCTGGACCATATCGGGTATACAGCTGCACTTGTTCCAAACAAGTCAATTTGAAATTTGAACGACATCGACGTCCAAATGACATTGGACTTTGGACTGTTTGGCCAGCTCCTCTCAATCAGCTGGGTTGATCAGAACCATGCCCAAACAAGCGTTAGAACTTCTTGGCTGCCTCTGATTGTAATGCGAGCCTCTTGTTTCCCCAAACCTCCCTGCCTCACCACATCTGGAGACAACTCTGGCAACGAGATGCAGGTCTTGGCAAGAGCACGACCAAACTGTCATGCCAATTGCTGCTGACTCCAGTTCAGTGGGATGCCAACAACATTGAACTCCTTTGAGAGGCACACTCGAGCGGCCTTCTCTTCCATGCCTAATGCCGGATTTCTCCGCAAGACCTTACAAGGACAAACGACGTCAAAAGATTGAACCGTTCCGGTGTATGTACATAAACAGTCACCAAGAAAAGACTTGTTGCCTATCTCGCTGAGTCTGCATGCAATGCGATGAGCACCAATGCTTGTGGAGGCTGGCCTTGGATCAAAAAGTCCGTGTCCATTTTGCGCATTTTTGCAGGACATCATGAGATTTTCGCAGGAAGAGTTGCACTTTGCACTTTGGGCGGAATTGACGGATTCTTGAGATCCGCACCCTGTCCCAACATTGAAGTGCACGTCACAGTAGTCGCCTGTTACACCATGTTACACCAACTATGGTGCAAGACTGCCCATGATTCACGTAGACAGTGTTCAACTTAAAAAATGCCAGACACGCTGTTTCCTGTTTCACATTTCATGATTTCAATTGAGTTCCTGATGTTTCTGTGGGCACCTGCATCGAAGACACTGCAAAGACGCCTGGAGAGCTCAGTGGGCACTGCAGCACGAGCCTGGATCCCCACATGGACCGGTCAAAAAGAAGCTGCCCGTTGGTGCAAGAAGCCCCTGCGTCTGTCTTGCTGGATGTTGATGATATGTGTTGCATACAATGGTAAACAAACAATTAGATACACACACATATACACACAAGATGTACTATGCAAGAACCTTCTTTTGCACTCCACTGTAATGTGGTTAGGCGACTTGCACAATCAAATGCAACTGATGCATTGTTGGACGTCAACGGTCATAAATCTGTGTGGCCTCTTGCGTCACATCTGGCAGGGGCCTGCAGCTGTGGGAGGACATTTGAGCTAGTCTCACCCGCTTCAAATCGACAAACTGCTCAAATCTGAAGGAGCTGGCAGTTCTGGGGCACAGGCGTATGCGTATACCATCCAATGGCCAGCATTTGCGGCAAAAAGAACTGTGTTGAGAAGGTTTCGGAAGGTGACAAGCCGCTTGTGATGTGGGATGCACCTTGCGAAAGGTCTCCACTCCAACGTTTCGTGGCAGGTTTCTACCTTTCAGGTATCCATCCATGCAGTGTGACTTGTAAGACTTTGTAAGGGTGCACAGGTGGGGTGTCCCTTTGTCCAGGCCCATCAGCAGTTATATCATGGCCCCCGCAGCCAGCTGGAGGAAGTAAAGTGGCTGCGCTTACAGCGCTTACGGCTCAGCATGTGGCCCCCGCCACGTGACGAACAAACTCCATAACCAAGAAAGTGACGGAGCTTCTAGAACTGACGGATGTTTGATTCAAGGAACGACACCGCCGCGTTTGAATTGTGTTTATCATCCAGTTCTGTCCCCACACACGCATCTGGCTTTTCAGCATTGCACCCTTTTTCTTCAAGATTCAAGAGCAGCAGGCCAGGGAAGAGTCTTCGCTTTGTACAAGAGGCGAGCTGCAATCAGAAGAGAACGATGGGAAATGCATTTGTTGTGCACAAGCAGAGCTGGTTCTTCCTTGAAACTTGCACAAGTTGGATTTGCTGGCCTTTTATCTCTTATGGTCCTAGAACATCTCTGGCCTACGCTCCTGCCTCAGCCACGCGTGCCTCGGGCTACGAGGAAATAATCGGAAATATCTCAAGGTCAGCTGCATGAGCCATAATCATGGGTTTTCCAAGCGTGAGATGAGGTGCTTGGAGAAAGGTGCCACTTGTGTACAGTCGTACAGCTTATCGACACTGCCCACTACAACTACCAGCAAAAAATGAGATCTCCATGTTTTCCAAATGGATCACTCTCCAGCAATGAATCCAGCATACTACATGTACATGCTACTAGGTTGCAGGCCATCGCTACTAGGTGCACAACAGTTCAACACAGCTCAGCTTCCCCTGGCCTTGGGCCGCTGGAAGCGCCGATGTGGAGCATCCCAATAGGCCTGGTGAACCCTGGGAATCGTCCTCTCCATGACACCGCGTAGTTCGGCCGTTTGAATTGTATGAAATAATAGTCTGAAACAATCAAGCTGTTGCAATATGGATAGGAAACTAAAATATATACAGTAGATGGAACATGATGGAAATAAGAAGGCTGAGAATTGAAGGCTGCTTACTCCAAGATTACTACATCCATCTGCATCCGTTGAATAACTGAGCTGTAGCTTGTCCCGCCTCTCCGTAGTCGAAGCAAAGCTCCTCATTCCGCACGATCTCATCCACTCCTTCCTGGCGCTCCAATTTGGGAGATTGGAAGAAATCGGAACCAACGTGGAGATTTTTGTCTTCTTCACTCACACACTTTTGCCGCCATGCAGTCCTGTGGATGTGCTACCCAAAGACAGCATTGGGTGGTTTCATCCTCAGCGCTCAAGCTGGACTGACTTTACGTCGCCTGCACCTGTACTTTGTCTACAAGTTTACAAGTGTCTAATCACGATCAGTCTGCATCTTCTTGGCTCCTTGCATAAAACCAATGCACATTCTCACCTGTCACGACAGCCCCTATTAAAAGAACGAAGCCCAGCAGTTACTGGAGCGGAATTCAGATTCACCTAATCGTCATGCGTGAGAATATACAAAGCAGGCCTGCACCCCGCTCCAAATGATTGTACATGCCACCATATCCTCAGTATGAGCTCCAGAAAACTCGTGTCTTAGCCTCATCTTCAAGAGCAAACAAACATGCACAAAGCGCTGGAGCTGCGCAAAGCCCAACAAGCTTGGCTAAGAGGCCACAAGGCAGGATGTAGCGAGACTGTCTTTTGACAACGCTTCTGCCTCATGAAGCACACCCAGTGTCAAATGCAGATCAAACACATGCTGAATCAAGGCCTTCCACATCCAATTTCACTTCAGGCAGTTGGAAACAATGATCCTGCACAGGCACGGCCAACTGGTATGCTGTCACTTGCACTACGTACCTCTCCGCCTCCTCGATTGAACTTAATTGAATATTATATATATATATGTGTGTCCTGCATACAATCAGCGCCATTGGTGTCCAGAATCAGGCAAGGGCACATCCTTGCACGCCGACAGTATTTGACTTGTTGTATCATTGTGAAGGAAGGCGGACAACATATTGCAGCACCAATCACTAATCTCCAGCTGTCTGGCCAATTCCTCCGGAAGACCTCTGACCTCTAAGCGCCCAACTCCACAATCTCGTCCCGCTTGAAATTGGTGTCTGCAAACACCCCTCGGCCATGCAATTTAGACCTCAGGCACATCGCAGCAGGAGCTTTAACTGAGTCACGAGTCCTGAACCGCAATCTTTGCTCAAGGGTTCTGTTTTGGGATCTTGCACGAATTGCAAGCTGTTCCATTCCTCCCCGCCATGACAGTACCGTTGACGCGCAGGTCAGACAGCTGCAACATTTTCGCTGCTCATTCTATAAAGAGGTCAAACATCTATATTTGTTGTGGCAATGAAATTCCGAGAAGACTTGGCAACAAAGATCAACAAAGCTTCCACGCTCTCACATGAGTCCTCAAATCTTCTTTCATGAAATTCTTCCATCTTGGCCCCCAAACTTGCCGAACTTCACACACCCTGGAATGGGTCGCACCTTTCGAGGGCCGCAAGGCGTCACAAGAGCCTGAAAAACACCGGGGTCGGTGCCCCAAAGACGGCAGCCGAGCACTCTGACGCTTGCTTTGTTCAACTTCAAAGAAGCAAGAACGAACGCGGGTCAAAACAAGGTCAAGGTGCGTCAATGTGTTCTGCAAAGCCCCAAAGTGTGACTAAACATACAAGGAAAGTGAATCGTTTGCCTTGCAAAGTTGAGTCTTCCTGTCACATGGAAGCCAACCCTATGATTACAGTAACCGGTAAAAGCAACACCCTGAACGGGGAGGGCTTTGCCAAGCCTTGCGAAAGCTATCTGGTTGCTCATGCCGGCACCTGGTCACAAATGACTTGTATTTTAGGGCAACATCTTGCAGGTGGCATGAACAAATATCCCAGCACTTGCACTTATTGCATTCAGGTGATACAGGGCTTTGTTTTGTCCATCAACTGGCATTAGGAACCATCTAGTGAACAGGCTCCTCACCAGTATGGCGTGAAGCCCTCGAAGTTAATGGACTCTCCCTGCGAGCTGTTTGGGCGTGCAAAGTTGAAACGCAGGACAATTGCTTGTGAATCAGTGGCAAAGTTCGTATCTCGGACCTCGTCAGTTCGGAAGTTGCGTTTGTACCTGGACATGTGGACATGCTACAAAATGCCAAGCCAGCGTTGAAACATATTGAAGCAAGAAACAGTTATCAAGTGCTTCGATAAGAACAAGTAAGCACGGCAAAG